AAGAAACAGTTGTGGTGTCATCAAAGATACATACCTACAATATAGCTTGATATGAGGCTTAAAGGACAAAAGCGAAGTGGTTAAAAGAACTTACACCCTAATTGATAATGGTATACAACAAAGAATAACCATTTAAGTAGTATGCGCTCCTATAACAACGGGTCAAGTGTCTTTGCCAAACACATTGACGTTAAAGTTATACGTTGTGAAGGAGAAAGTCTGGAATCATACTAAAAGTATTGAACATAAAAGCAACAAGCAAGTGTTGCGGATCCGCGTACAAAAGGCTTACCACCCAGTGTGTTTAGAGAACACACAGTCGACATGGGTTTATGGTATAGCCTATGATTTTCGGACAATAAAGGGCCCAAAGTTAAAGAATCTGTTTCAGAAGAGAGATGTGTATTGTAGCTGTTAAGTCTATCGACGATTGACCGTGACGATGAAGCATGCTCTATGCACTAATCTGTGATGGAACAAATAAAAGTAAAAGTGATTAAAGTCAAAGTTTAAAGTTAAAATATAAGTTGAGATCAAGGGGGAGAATGTTAGAATTGATCTCATCCGTTTTGACCCAACGGTCGAGACGGACCCCTTGACCGCGTCCTGATCGGGGACGTCTAGCCATCTAGTGGCTAGTGGGCCCCCGTCGCACAGTGCCTATAAAGAGGAGGTGGGGCAAACGGCTCGGTTCATGAGGTTCACCGCCGACACAGCCCCACTGTCCTAACCCTAATCCGATCCAGAGGGTGGCACTGCCAGCGGCGGGATGCGCCACTGCCTCCACCACCACCGCCGGTCTCCACCGCTACTCCGACCGTCGCTGCCTAGTGCAGAGCTTCACCAACGAACCATTGAAGGCAGGGAGCTCCTCCGACGGTCAGATGCTCCTACATCTCCCTCTCTCTCTATGTTATCTACTCCCTCTGAATCTCAAAGTCACTGATTATCCCAAATAGAAAAGAACTCACCCACTGGATCCACTACTAGATGATCCAAAGGACATTTACAGTCACGTCAGGCGGTCGAAGTCCTCCAAATCTGCTGACGGCCATTGGGGACTGCTGCAGAGGATGAGGCCGTCAGGTGAGGCCTGTCCGCACCCACGAGGGCCACGTGTGACCCCAGCCGTCAGCTTCGGTGATCGGGCGGCGGTCAGCTGCTCCAAAGATGGCGGATTCGAGAAATATTTTAGGGGGGCTGAACAACATCACTTTGCTTTCGATTTTAAGTCTCACCCTCTGACTCTGTAAACTTTGACTAAAAATTCATAAGGACTCTACATGAATTTGCCTTTGTTTGGGATGGGTAGGGGGCTTGAGCCCCCCGCCCCCACTGCTGGATCCGCCCCTGGCTCCCAGCACACCACACCGATGAAGCGAGATAGCGACGGGCTCCGTCTTTGTCCTGAGGCTTGTCTGGCTACCTCTACCCTGTAGGAGATCCGGCCGAAAGCCAGCCAACCAAGTGGATAAAATCCCTTTTGATTCGTGGAGGTGGCGTGCAGGATCCCAATTATTGGATGCACTGCGTCATCAGCTCATCCTTCCGGCCGTGCGTTTCGTCAGGCGGCTTTTGGTCCTGCAACGCAGAAGAAAAAGAAGGGTGAATAGCGTGAGCCAAGCTGCTTCACACACACACATGAATCTTCAAGTATTATGGCCTGGTCCCCACAACGCTAGTAGAGTAATTCCATACAATAATGATCATGCATAGGTGAAGTGTCAATCAGAGTAGCAGCAGATGGATGAGTTTGGCTCACCGACTGGTTTCATTAGTGGATGATGTCCACGTCAGGCTTTTGATTCCTGATAGAGAAAAATGCTAGAAAACGATGCCTGCCGGCTGCAGCAGACCAATGTGGAAATGGCTTGTCCTGAAGCCCAAAAGCTACCCTGAAGTACAGCCACTGTGATAGCTGATAACAAGGGGGAAACGGTAGATAAAGGGCATCCTTTATTGGCAAGCTAGGATCACACCCATTGATAATCTACGCTAAAAGTGGCACACATATACTAAAATATAAAGTTGCGTGAGAACATAGAACTAATCTGTTTGTTTCAGAAAAGGACTGAACCATTCTTTAACCTTCTTTTCTTGTGCAGGTTTCAGCAAGCAAGACCAAAATATACATGGTCCTTGAGTATGTAAATGGAGGAGAGCTATTTGACAAAATCGTAAGAGTTCTGCCCCTTGATTGTAAACCAGTCCCCGCATGCTTTGTTGAACTAATCAACCAATGAAGCCAATTCTTGAGCTACAGCTACCAAAAGCTTTCGAATGCATACCTATCTCAATCTTCAATATATGCAGGCATTGAAGGGTAAGCTGACAGAGAAGGCAGCGAGAAACCTATTCCAGCAGCTAATAGATGCCGTAGCATATTGCCACGAGAAGGGGGTTTATCATAGGGACCTCAAGGTAAATCACATCACTAACCATAGCTTTTGAGATACCAGTCGATGATAGGAACGGTAAACAGATTACATCATCGAGACTTTTCTTCTGAATCTTTTGCAGCCAGAGAATGTCCTTGTTGATGCAAAAGGAAACATAAAGGTTTCTGATTTCGGACTAAGTGCACTTCCACAAAACCAACGAGTATGCCGTCCTCTCTGCTGTCAAATCAATCTGAATCATTTTGTCTGTGCCTAAAATGATGGCTCTTTTTTCAGAAAGATGGTTTGTTGCATACCACATGTGGCAGCCCTAACTACATAGCCCCTGAGGTAAGAATTAAGCACTCTTTTCATTCTGGTGTTGAACCTACTAGGATGCATGGTTCCATCATTACTATCTACTTCAGTTCTGCATGTGCATGGTGCACATGGAAGATGGAATTACTGACACCGGTGTTTTTAGGTCCTTCTGAACAAAGGTTATGATGGCTCGATGTCTGACATATGGTCCTGTGGTGTTATTCTATATGTAATGCTTACAGGGAATCTTCCATTTGACGACCAAAATGTGGTTGTCCTTTATCAGAAGGTATAAAGCAAGGAATGAAGTATTACCGGAATATATTTGGCTAATTTCATTTGATGCAACCATATCTCAGTGTGATGTTTATCTGTTCTCAGATTCTGAAGGGGAATGCTCACATTCCAAAGTGGCTCTCTCAAGGTGCCCAAGATATACTGAGAAAAATCCTGGATCCTAACCCGATTACGCGCATAGATGTGGATGGAATAAGGGCACATGAATGGTTCAAGCAAGGCTATGCTCCTGCTGTGCCATTTAATGATGATGAAGAAGATATCAGCATGGATGTACACAGCCTAAATATGACCGAGGTAACCTATGTGAGCTGTATTTACATTTGCCATATAATAACATGGTTTTAGGCTTTTAGCAGACTGGTAAAGACTGAAATTTGTCTGTGTTTTCTAAAGCATAATGGCATTCAAGACAAGATAGCAATCAACCAAATGAATGCTTTCCAGCTCATTGGGATGTCCTCCTGCCTTGATTTATCTGGATTTTTTGAGAAAGAGGTAAAGCTCAATGTTTGTTTCAATCTATTTTTTTAGCATGTTTTAATTTCCTCATCTACTGAAGACTTTAAATTTGAAGCAAGTCCTATCCCAGACTCTACATACGAAGCAAGTCCTAAGTTGGAATTGGAAGGGTTCAATTAGATGGTAAAAATGTTAAAAAGTGTACGTAAAGAATAGCAGCCAGGAACCAGAAATTGACAAAGCCTGCCTTGCTTAGTTGTCTCTGTGCCTTTATTGGGCATTAACATTGTTAATAATAATAATACTCTAGAGATATTTTTCATAGTTGTCATAACCTTCCACTAAAGTCAGACATGTGCCTTGAGTTGTAGGATGCTTCTGAAAGGAAAATCAGATTTGCATCAAATTATTCCCCAGCTTATTTATTTGAGAAGATTGAGAGCATTGTCAGAAAAATGGGTTTCCAGGTACATAAGAGCAACGGCAAGGTAAGTGATCTCCTATCATGTATTCATGTCTACGGACTTCCAGCTCTGTGTGTTTGGAATCAGGATGCTGAGAATCATATTGTCGTGTCCTGCAGCTAAAAGTGATACAAGACTGCAAGGGACTAGCAAATTCAAGAGGGCAAGAATCATTATTAATTTCTGCTGAGGTATTTATAGTACATAACATATTTGTAGTTTAATGCAGCTGTCTCCCATGGTGCCTAGTGTATTTCTATTAGACTTCTTGTTTCTTTTTATGATGTTTCTATTGGACCTTCCTATTATTAACATTGTGGTATTATGATTCCAGGTGTTTGAGATCAATGAATCTCTTTATGTTGTCGAACTAAAGAAGTCATCTGGAGACTGCTCCCTGTACAGAAAGGTATTGCCCCCTCCCTTGACAATTCAGTATTTGAAAGTCTTGAATGCTGGATGATTTCATGTTAGCAGATATTTGATTTATTCTGTCTATCATGTTGTTCAATGTTGCAGTTGTGTGAGACTCTCTCAGAGGACTTGGGGACATGCAAAAGCCAGCAATTTTTAAAGCAGGATTCTATCAGACAAGAGATAGGTAGATACAATAGTAGCTTTTAACAAAGAGCCCCTTACTAAATAGGCTATAGACACAAACTAACACAAACAATATACTGAATTTAAAACAGTATATTGGCCATGCACCTATTACAAATGTGCTCCCTTATGCCTTTTGTCATGAAACCTTAAGAGGCTTAGATTATGACAAACTGGCAACTGACAATACATCGTACTCCTAAGGGATAATATGATGTAAACAAGTAAACTACACATACAAGAGATTCAGAGTTACCTGGTCTCTATATTTCTCTTATATATTGGTATTGGAATGTAAGATTGTTTGCTTTTGAAGCCCCTGGCTGACTTCCATGACTCAAGAAAGAAATTGTGATATGTTGTTCGTTGAAAGAAGTCCTTTCAGATGCATGTTCAACTAAAAGAATACCTGTGAAGACCATGAATATAAGATAAACTCCTGCACGGCGCATTTGGTACAAGTTTGAAACTTTGCCAATCACCAGTAGTCCTTGCATGAGCATTGTCCTTCACTGAAATGGTGGAAACGGTTACGGTCTCTAATGATCAACTTGCGCTCGTACAACAAGGAAATAAGCTTAATAGCTGAATGGCAGTCTTCACAGGCTCTCAGATTCTTTGTTATTCGGAGAGTTGAGCCTGCAGGAGTGGTTAGCAGCCCAAAAGCAATCGCCAGCTTCTCACTATGTTCAGCCAATGCACGTTCCTTAGATTGCTCATCAATGTCTTGCAACACTAAGCCTGTCATTGGCTTATATCCAGCTTGTCTTAAGCGATCCATCATCTCTTCCAACATTTTGTAGATCTCCTTGGACCTTGGATGTGATCTATCACCAGAAACAAACTCGTGAATTGTATTCTGCCACTCAATTGAGCTTCTTCCAGGAATTCTCTGAATGCTCTCCCTCCTAAGCGTCCTCCTCATCTCTGCAACACCTTCCCAGGAATTCGCTTGTGCATATATGTTTGACAGTAAGACATAGTGCCCATCAGCATGAGGATCCAATACTCGCAGTTTTGTCATAGCTTCCTCTGCAACTTCTACATTCTTATAAATGCGGCAAGCCCCAAGAAGTGCCCTCCAGATGACTGCATCTGGCTCGAATGGCATGTCCCTAATGAGCTGCCTTGCCTCCTCAATATGACCCGATCGCCCCAAAAGATCAACCATGCATCCATAGTGCTCAACCTTCGGCGTTACACCATGCACTACACTCATTGAGCTGAAATACTTCTTGCCATCGCTCACGAGACCAAGATGAGTACAGGATATAAGAACTCCAATGAAGGTAATGTCATTTGGTTGCAGTCCTTCTGATAGCATCCTTGAGAACAAGGAGAGAGCATCATGGCCGAGCCCATGATTGGCCAACCCGATGATCATCGAGCTCCAAGTCAGCACATCCTTCACTGGCATAGAGTGGAACACTCTTACTGAATTATCAATGTCTCCGCACTTGGCATACATGTCGATCAGAGCAGTCCCCAGCTTGACATCCAACTCAACCCCATTGCTCTCCACAAACTGATGCACTTCAGCACCAACAGCGAGCGCCCCCATATCACCACACGCTGAGAGCACACTCACCATGGTGATGCAGTCCGGGTTGACACAAGCCGCACGCATCTCCCGCCACAGCTCCAACGCATCCTTGGACCTCTTGCCCTTGGCGTACGCCGACATCATGGAGCTCCACGAGAAGGCGTCCCTGTCCTCCATGTCGTCGAACATCTCCCTCGCAAGGGCGACCTCCCCCTTCACCGCATACCCGTGGATCATCGTGTTCCAAGAGACCATGTCCCTCTCGCGCATTCCATCGAACACTCTCCTCGCCTCTGCGACCTCGCCGCGCGCGACGTAGGCCGCGAGCATGACGTTGCAGAGGAACACGTCCCTGCGCGGCGCCTCGTCGAACGCGGCGCGCGCGAGGTCCGCGCGCCCGGCCTTGGCGTAGGCCTCGACGAGCGCGGTGCGCACGAAGAGGTCGGCTGCGGCGAAGCCGGACTTGAGCGCGCGTGCGTGGAGGGACGCGGCGCCGAGGCCGAGCATAGCCGGAACGGAGCCCGAGAGCGCGGCGGATGCCTGCAGCGCGAGGGAGAGCGAGAAGGAGTTGCCGAGGAGGCGGGGCGCCCGCGGCAGGAGCGAGCGGAGGAGGAGCAGGGCTTGCAGCGGGAGGCCCGCGCGGAGGTAGCCCCGCATTGCGGTGGTGACAAGGAACGCGTCCGGGCACGCCGACTTGACGAGGCGCGCGTGCGCGGCCAGGTGCTCCGGCCGCGCCGCCGCTCCGCCTCCCCGCCCGCGCATCGCGCGAGAGAGCTCGCGTCGCGAGGCGTTCGAGTTTGCCGCGGCGGGGGAAGGCGCCGCGCTTTGGTGCCTTGGTGGCTTGGGACTTGGGAGCCAGGGTTCTAGCCGTCGGATCGGCGGACGAGAGATTTAACGGCTGGGAGGATTGCCACCGAGGCGTCCGAGGGGAGGAAGTGCGTCGACCGGCTATTCGCCGCTCGATGCCTGCGCGACTCGCGAGCCTTCTGCACCGACGTGACGCCTGACCAAGCAACGCCCCGCCGCCGTCGCCCCCGCCTCCCTCCGCTGCAGGAGACGGGGTCGGCATCGGCACGGCACGGCACGGCACGATGAGGAGCAGCGAGGCCATGGAGCTCCTGGGCTTCCCTCCCTACTCCCGCCCATCCCCTTCCGAGGTCCGCCCTTGGCTCCCATCCCTCTCACTGCTCCTGCTCCCAAACGAATGCGATTCATCCTGAGCTGCTCCGCAGCGCCAATTTCTGAGTTGATTCTGTTGGGTTTTGGTCAAAACGGGCGAAGGTTGAGGAGAATTGTCCTGTACGCTTCCGGATTCTTAGTTCCTAACTCTGCATCTTTGCGATGCAGGTGAAGGCTGCGTATAGAAGAATGGTGATGGAGTACCATCCTGATCGTGTCCCAACGCATCTGAAATCGCAGGCTGAGTCAAAATTCAAGGAGGTAAGGTAAAATTTTAGATAAGAGCTTGATATCACCCTGCTTGTTCTTGGTCATCATGGAATCGCTGTACATACAAAGAATAAAAATTTTACTGACTTCTTTCTCATCTGCATTTGACACATATTTTGGATGTTGCAGCGAGCATTCATGCCATTTTATATGTTCTTCTAGCTTAGCTTAGTAGCTTTGGAACACTTCTAACTTACCACTTCTAACTTACCAGCACAAGTCATCTATAAGCAGAGATGAAAATGAACCCATATTTTTTTTGTTTCAAGATCGAATATTTGTTTATGTTTCACATAGATGCCAACCATTCCCGAGTTGGGTGACGTCTGAATTGGGTCCATTGCACAAAGCATTGTAACATAATTCCTGAGTCCTGAGCTTACTCTTTCCTCCACTGTCATTACAAAATCCTGTGCTTGTACTAACTTGCAGATAGCAGAAGCATATTCTTGTTTCAAGGATGGTACGTTGTTAATCACTCACATAATTCATACTTTGCTTTGGAAAATCTACTACAAGCAGTAAGGTATTCACTGTGGTGTGCTGTGCACTGATGAGTTGTATCTCATCCATCGTTTGCAGGAAGATCAGGGAGTAGGATGGAAGGTAAACTTGATTTCATGATGAAAATTATTCACACAATCTTTGTGTATAGATAATTAGATGTATCGTTAACGCAGTTCATGTTATGCGTTCTGGTGTTCCGACTGGCTACGGGAGATCAAATAGAACGTTGGTTAAAGCCCCATTTCTACTCATAATGTTCGCAGCAGTTTCTTTTGGTGCCTTTAGCGCATCAAGGTAACCTACACTTGAACTTTCCCATTTTCTTTAGTTACCTGTAATGAATTCTTTTACCTAATTAATGAGACCATTCTGGATTTGTGAAGGGCATATCAACGGCAAAAGGAACTGTGTTCCTCTCAGAACCCCTTTCTACCGTAGAGGAAGACATTTGGGCTCTGTCCATATTCATTCATAGGCGAGAAGAGTTTCTTGTACATTGTTGTATACAGATGTAAAACAATCACACCACCCTGAATAAACGTACCAACCGCCACCGGTGTTTTCTGACTTCTTGTTTCAGACTTCAAAGCATGTAAAATCAGTTTGTGTTGGTTCCCTGATTTCGTCTGCCTTGCTGCTACGTTCAGTTAACTTTGTTTTGAAACTACTTCATGGGCAACCTTTTTTTAAGCTCAATTGTGCAGTATATAATTACCGAAGGAACTGTAAGACCATAGCCAAGTTTGGCTACCAACATGTATTTGCCAAACTTCTGCCAACGGTCGCCTTTACTAGTTTGCCACAATTTGTCTTATGTATGGCTACTAGCCTGTTTAATTTAATTGCATATGCTGTGTCGAAGCACAGACCCAAACTGCGTGCAGTTTACCTCCAAACGATCATTCAAAGACTCAAAGCAGAAACAGATAATAGCGTATCGAAGCATTGAGTAGAATCATCGACCATTTACTCAGGCAACATGGCAACCAGAGCACTTGGCAGAATCAGCAACCAGTAAGATTTACAAGAAGCACCATAATAGTTTGGTAACTGTCAGCATTACAAGAAACATCCCACCATCTAAGGTGGGAGCAAAGATGCTGAAAGGCGCTTAGATGAACTCCAAACTTTGCAAAATGCAGAGCAAGTGCTAGGAAACATCAACAGAACTTAGCTTTTGCGGACGCAGCTTGCACCAACCACCAGAGCCTCAAAATGTTCAGTTGGTGCAAGCAGGTAATGTACCAATGCTAAGCTTTTCCACTAGCGGCAGTAGTAGCATCAGCCACTATTATGTTAAAGGACAACGGCTGCCAACCTGAAGAATGGGGCACAAACCACTTTTTTGTGTTGATTATGATATTCAGAACCTGAAGGACTTCAGCAAGGGCAAGATGCTTCAGGCATGTTTTCTTCAACATAGTAGCAGCTTGATACCTGCAAGCAAAGAAACATTGCACTAATACAGCCACGCTCTTAGGGGAAATATGATAAACACATATTTCAAGGTAATGGAACCTTACCTAGATTGAGAACTCTTTATCTCAGAATAGCCTGGAGCAGAAGAAATGAAAGCATGAACAGCGTCTAGAGTTTCTTTTGGGTATTTTGTATTATCATCCATTATATTAACACATTTCCAGAGATTTTCGTCTTTTCCCAGAAAGAATGACATGTTCCCTAACTTTTTCTTGACAACAGCTTGATGCTGCATGGCAACTTGAAGTGCCTTCTTAACATCAAAATTTGGTAGATTAGCATCACCATAACATATACAATCTGCTATATATTGTTTTGTTGGGGGAATCTTCTCAGTCTTCAAAACTTCCAAAGCACCTAAGATATATCTTACAAGACCTTGAGGGTCTGAAGATGGCTGTGGACATCCTGGGTTGGCACCCCAGTGTCCAATATTTTGCATGTTGCTAGGCATGTTAGGTTGAGTTGGAGGTCTGTAACTATAATCACTGTAACCAGGTTGAATGATATGTGGAGCACCAGGATGGTTTGGATGGTAGTTGGCATGCAAACCTTGGTTATTATGAATACCTCTAGGGTATTCAGAAATATTCAACCGACTCATATCAGGATAATTGATTGGTGGTCCATGATAAGGTGGGCCACTTGGCCAGAATTGCAATGGTGCAGTAGGAATACCATTATGCCCAGTTGGTGCTGGACATGAGTTGCTTCTATGTGAGTTTGATGATTGAAAATTGCCAGATCCACCATGAGGACGATGGTTCACTGGGTTCTGTTGCCTTGGTTGCTGAGAGGATTGGGATTTCTGATACTTTGGACGACCATTGCCAGTCACGTCAGGAGCACCATTTTTAGATGAAGACTCGGTTGATGGCTTCTTACCATGGTAAAGGTCATGAGGAGCACTCTTTTGATGGGAAAGAGTAGATTTTACAGGCTTTTTGGACTGGGGAGATGGCTGGTTTTTTTGTGTATTCAGTTGATCTACCTGTGCTCCACCCCCATCTTGCAAATCAGAACTTGATAATGAGGATGATGGAGGCTGAGATTGATTTGGCTCACTAGCGGTGCTTCCTTTAGAACTATCTGATACTCCATCAACTGAAGCTTCATCGGTCCTTGTTGGCTTAGATACATTGTCTGACTGGTTTTTCCGAGGTTGCCTAACTTTATATTGTTTATCTGCCTTGCCGTTACCACCTTTTTGCTGATCACACGGAATGCTATTCTGCCCTTGAGTACTGTTATGTGGAGTTGCATCTGAAGAATCTGAAACCATGTTCTTCGATGCATTCGAATGATCCACACTGCCATTGGTTATGCTACTTATGTATGGGGACTCTGCCAATGGTGGTTCCCCAGCCACAAGGTCTTTCCATAGCCAAACATGTTTTGCTGCAGCAGTAAGCGCTTGAGACACATTTGGAGGTTGTGCTAGTAGAATATTGTACCGTCTCATCACTAGCTTATGAAGGGCATTCGCGAAGTCCCGATCACCAGATATTAGCAAATAATTTGCCGGTGGAGGGTTGTCAATAGCCCAGATTAACATGTCAACTAAGATCTTCTTATCACTTGCATCTTTAATACCTGCCATTTGTTACAAGGTAAAAAAATAGACAACATTCAGCCATCACAGATGAACAAAAAAACTGTTTGGCATTCAGGTACAAAATGTACAAATGCATGAGTTTCAAGAAAAAAAAATGCTTGAATGTACCAAGATTCTTGTATGAAAGTTAAGTTAAAACTAAACTTGGAAACAGATGGCTAAATAACTTGTGCCATGTCCACTGGCAAGATCCTAGAAGAATAATAGGTTATTGCAGTGGAGTCATTCTTCATCACAATGAAATATCTGCGGATCTTACAGATGGAAACACATGAAATATCTGCGGATCTTACAGATGGAAACGCTAATTAAAACAGTACCTCTCATTGCTCATCAATAAAGAAGTAGCTTTCACAATAGCTCAGAAGACTAAAAATCACATCACTGATAAACGCTAAGTATTGTAACCAACAATTATTCAGATACTAGTCTATTCCTTAGAAAAATCTGGATACAAAAACACCACACCATGGGAACAATCAACCTATTTAATATGCAAACTCAAAGGACAAATACATGATAATTACAAAATTCAAAACCACATCGTGTAAATATAATAAGTAGTCTTATTAAGCAGGTCAAACGAATGATAGCAAATAAACACAGCAGAGTCCACGATCACACCAGGACATCCTAGCAAATATCACTCGGACCAGACATTACTTGAAGTGAAAACAAATTGGTAAAACTCTACGAAGAGACCAAAAGGTCAAACATCACAAAACCTAAATCAATCACTTTCCCAACACACTCCAGGCAACCCCACCAATGCCAGCATAACTCACACGCCAAAAAAAGTAAACACCATCAGATGAACACATCTCTGGTGAGGAAACTTCCAGACCCTAAGATTCCACAGTTGTCCTCAAGTATAGTAACAGATCCATTAAACAGACGCAATCAAAAGCATCGAGAGGGTGGGTGAGAACATCAAATGGTCTGTTCAGTTCAGAGACAATAGCAACGGATCGGCGCAATCCGCATGCACCTGGCAAGGGGTCAGCGGATCAACTCGGCAGGAGCAATCAGGGAACTATCGACGCAATCAAAAGCATCGAGAGGGTGTGCGAGAACATCAAATGGGCTGTTCAGTTCAGAGACAATAGCAACGGATCGGCGCAATCCGCATGCATTGTCAAGGGGTCAGCGGATCAACTCGGCAGGAGAGCAATCAGGGAACAATCGGGGGTTGGTTGGGGAGTACGGGACGGCGGGGGAATCCGTACCTGCTGGGACGTGGTTGAGGGCGATGCCGGTGCTGGAGAGGGCGTGCTGGACGTGGTTGGGGACGCAGTTGGTGTCCCCGTAGGCGGAGATGGTGATGGGGCCGGTGTAGCCGGCGGCGGCGAGGGCGGAGCTCATGTTCTGCGCGATGAGGTGGGGGTCGCAGTAGCGGGGGACTTGGCAGTTCTCGATGTCCCACCACACCGAGGTCTTCACCGCCGCGTACTCCCCCATAGTCCCCGACGCCGCCAGCCTCGGTTTCGCCGGCGAAGCGGTAGGGTTGGGGGTTTTTATGGTTCGCGACGGCGGCGGCGGCGAGGGAGGTTGGCCTGCAAGGATTCAAGGAAGGTATTTGTTTTTCCTGGTTTAAAAAGCGTTACAAATTTGGGCAAGTGGAGAGAAGTTGCTTATTAAGGGCACGCTAGTTTTTTTGTTTTTACATCCGGAGTTAAAGTTGTTTTTTAAGCTTTCTGATACTATCCCTTGACAGCATCCTCAAGGGCCTTTCTAAAATTCCACTCTCTTAATTATCATTTTAAGAGTTATTTGTATAAAAATTGATTTCTATATCTTTTTATTCTTCAACAGTTTTTCTATATCTCATCCGCACTATAGAGAGTCATTCTCGTCTTCTATTTTTTGCTAGCGAAAAATCCAGAATATAAGATGGCTATATTTGGATAACTATTTAGAGAAGCTGTTGGAGGGTAGTTTTTCATCAATATCTCTATTCCTAGCATTTAGGATGGATATGGAGAGTCACTGGTGTATAAGACATTTCATTCTATATGATTATAGAAAACAAAACACATGAGTAAGGCACTCTTTAGTCTTTACAATAATAAGAATCTAATCTAAATCTAAAAGATGTTAAGATGTGTTATTAGATAAGAAAAATGTAGACTAGTCCAAGAGGTATAGGACCAAGTCATCGAGATATGAAGCTAGCTACCATGGTTGACTCTCTAAAGTTCCTTTGAAGAAAAAAAATCTTATATATATACTACTCTAGTTTTAACTCGATGGTCTTTACTTCTTGATCGTCAACTAGACACTAGCAAAGTAAAATGAACCATTTTGATCTCTTGGTTATAAAAAATAACCGCACAAATAAGTCACATGCATATCAATACTTTTCTTTGAATTAGCCAAAGTTTTTTTTAGAGTTCGAGTCCCTCAAACTACAATATTTATGCCCTTATTTAAATGGGTTTATGAAAGTTAATAACGACGGCAACAATTACATCATGTGGAAGCTAGAGAATTCTACTCTATTTATAAAAAAAAACTAAAAGTTTATGGGTGCTGCAGCACAACATGGTGCACGATGTCTCCATGTGAAGTTTGTTGTGAGAGAGATGTGCAATAGCTTACCCAAAGAAAATTTTGTAACATGCCTTCTTAGAGAGTCAATTTTATTATCTGAAAATGTGCTTGTATTAAAGGAATAATTTGAAAACTATTTACTTCGTACAACACTTAACTAAAAGGAAACATCCATCTGCCAGTCCGCGGGAGATGTCGAGGTACAGTCAATTTTTTTTTTTTTTGAGCCTGTCATCATGTGTTTTGTACACGCACACACGCAGAATGGATGGCTTTCCATTCAGTAGACAACCGACAGGTACATAACCCAACCTAAAGCTAACTTAATAATAAACAACCACATGATGCGCGGCAGCAGCAGAAGAACAATTTGCGTCACGGGAGGACAAGCAAAGCGAAACAAAGCCGGAGCTGCCGCGTCAAAAGTCCCAGAACCCGGAAAGCTAGCTAAACTTAAACCGAGTGTGGGAAAGCGGAAAGCCGTTCGCTGCTGGTTTGCTGCGCCTTCGCTCTCGCTCGTGGGTCTGCCGGGGCTCCTCCGCTTTCCACGGCAGCTTGTGTGATCTTCTGCAGCAGCCCAGACAGCAGGGGAGAGCGCTTGCCTGCGAATTGCAAGTTGCAACCGTCCGTGCGTCATTTTTCTAGTCTAGGAGTACATGCTCTGCAGATGCAGGCGTGCAGCTGCGACCCTGCAATGCAAATCTCACACGGGAGGAGAATAGAAGGTTCTGCTCTATCCAGTCCCAGCACGTGCGCGTCACGTGGCTGCCAGGGTCCACGGCTCAGTGACTGACAGAACTCATGTTCTCTTAGACAACTTAACAGGCAGTGACTGAGTTCAGGTCTTGTCAGCAACCAAAACATGCTGCTGTCTTGCCTGCTGGAAAGCAAAAGGTTCCAGACGTGTGAGCCCGTGACACTGCGTGCGTGTTCAGTTACATCCTAAATTCCCAAAAAGTGCTACAGTACCTATCACATTCAATGTTTGCGGCCCGTACATGGTGCATTAAATGTAGACGAAAAAAAACTAACTACACAGTTTTGTGGGAAATTACGAGACGAACGTTTTGAGCCTAATTAGTCCATGATTGAACACTAATTGCCAAATAAAAACGAAAATGCTACAGTAGCCTCAAATTCCAACTTCCTATAACTAAACACGCTCTGCATTTTTTGGCTACCAAAACGTACTTGCTTGGCTCTCTGCTGGGAAACCGGAGCTTATTCATGATCCAGGCAGAGGACTGGTAGCACAGCAGACCTTTGCCTCCGTTCGTTTCGCTGAAAAAAATAAGCTAAAATACTATTCCGACTGATTTATTATCAGAAAAAAAACACTGTTCTGATTAAAAAAAAAATAGAAAAGTACGAATTATAGGCACTGCACTGAAGTTGGTTGAGACATCCCTGTCTGTCTCCAGCGCTTCTCCATCACGGGATCTTCTAAATTTGTGTTGGGCTCCGGTACAATGTAAACACTGTTAAGGCTTAAGACTGACCACACGGTGCAGCAGCAAGTAGGGCAGAGCTTAGGGATTGTTTGGCACGGCTCCTCCTGAGAGGCTTCTCCGGAGGAGCCAGAATTTATGGCTTCTCTAAAACGGCTCCGGCTCCTATAATAGCTCCTCCAGAAAAACATTCGGCAGGGCTCCTCTGGAGGAGCCAGAGACAGAGCCGAAGAGAAACCCAGCCAAACACACCCTTAATTTGTGGTTGAAGCCAATGGTGCCCCAGTCTGTACTCTGTACTGTCCGTCTTGGTTGCTTGTGTGATGAACCTCGAGTGTAAAGACTGCAAAATTCAGGGAGAAGTGCTCCATCTGCGCGTATGTACATACATGCAATTTGTTTCCTTCTGGTTTCAACCAACGGCAAGAACCTGAGGCGACATTTGAACTTTAAGATAGAAGGAAGGCACAACGTATCAACAAGTCTTCCGTTTGTCACTTTAACGCTGCATACATGATTTTCCCCTTCGATGTGACTGTCACATTAGTCTGACCACATAAAAAAACATACAACAAAAATCACATGTCAGGTTTTTTTCATCATGTCAGGTTTTTCCCATTAAAAAATCGTTACAGATCACGTTAGTTTTTCTATGTTAGAAAATGCTACGGCAAGATCACTATTTGATTTTTCAACGTTACAAAAAAAAACAGGTTAGAATAATGACACTCTAAATCTCATCAACATATCACGTTAAAACAAATAGAAAAGCTAGATCATGCATATCTAGTAGGGAGACATTTTTCGGTTTTTCTTATATTTTTCTATTACCTCCTAGTATAGAAGGTAATATGTGATGATTGCCATAAAGATCGATGGTCCACCGTCACTGTGGAGTACTATAGCAAAGCCCAAATCCAGACTATGTACTGTACAACAAGAGATGCAGCTATGAAATTAGAAAATATTGAGAATAAACTCAGATTTGGGCTCATCTGCGTAGCTCAGAGCTGTCACACCTACGGCGGACAAGGCGTGAGACAGAGGCGAGAGAGCAGGCGTATTCCGGCAATACGTTTCAATGTAATAGGAAGCATGTTTTATTCCTTGCTGTAGTGTGAGACTATGACGTGTGGGCCTGAGGCCGAGATGTAATAACCCTGAGAGCGCTGAGACAGGGAGACTATTCCATTTCTGAAAACACTAAACCAAGACACCGAGGAAGATTCCTTGTCTCGTTCCCGTCGACGACTCCGACTTGATCTCCTCACGTCCCGGTGATCGGCGGCGGCCAAGTGGCGATCGCCGAGGAAACCAAAGAAGAGCAGAAACTGATCAGCAAGCAAGTTCAAGCTAATGGCCAAGCAGTGGCATCACTCACACTGAGGCAGATGGAAACTGAAGCTGCACTGGACCATGCTGAGGATAATTCTATCATTTCAGCAGATGACCCTCAATTTGACAACATCTTTACGGACAAACCATATGACATCAAGCCAGAACACTCTAGGAGGTCACACAAGCAGCACAACAACGAGGCCTTGCCACACCATACATTGCCCAAGATGCAGTTTCCCACTTTTGATGGCAACAACCCCAAGATTTGGATTGACAACTGCATCAACTACTTCGCAATATACAAGGTTGAAGAGGAACTCAAGGTGACTGCTGCAACCATGCATCTCCAGGAGAATGCAGCTAAATGGTGGCAAGCTTATAAGCAAGGTAACAAAATACCTTCTTGGAATGCTTTATGTTCAGTGGTGCTATCCAAATTTGGTGAAGATGATTTTAGAACAGCAATCAATGACATGCTATCTCTGAAGCAGACTGGAACAGTAGAAGAGTACACACTTGCTTTCCAGGCCCTGCAGTACAATATTACAATGCATAACAGTCACTATGATGAGGTCTTCTTTGCTTCCACTTATGTGGCAGGACTCAAAGATGATATTAGAGTCACTGTAGAGCCTCATGTTCCTCTCATAGTGGATAGAGCTACCCTCATTGCTAAGATCCAGCAGAGAAATTTGGAGAGAAACAAAGCTAAGTATAACAGAGCAGCAACTGCCAACAAACCACGGTTTCAAAGGAATGAACAACCTAATCCACCAAACAACCCCAACCTCCAGAGAATCAGGCAGTTAAGGGATTACAGAAGAGCTAACAACTAGTGTTTTGCTTGTGGAGATAAGTTTGAGCCTGGACACCAAGAGGTTTGTCCAAAACGCCAAAAACCACACATTAATGCTTTGGTAGTGAATGATTTGGACAAAACAGAGATAACAGAAGACATGTTAAACCAATTAGTAGTGGAAGATGCCCTTACTGAGGACTTTTGTCAGTTATCTCTGAATGCTCTTTCAAGTGCTGAAACTGAAAATTCAATGAAGTTGAAAACCATGGTCAAGGACAAGCTAATGTTGGTGTTGTTGGATTCAGGGAGCTCCCACGGTTTCA